CTTAAACATCTTTAAAAAGGTTTTAGACATTCCGGTATTAATGACATGACATTAGAGAAAATATGTGATTTTTCTTTTCTGTCCAACCTGTAAGAATTCTTTTTTTATTTCATATCTGTGGAGGATCTACTTGTTTTGTCCATGGCCCCAAATCTCTATATTATGGCCTTATTCTCCAGCTTTAAAGTCTTGGAGTTTTTTTTTTAAGATTACTAATATTATTATAGCTTAGCTTTCTGTCTATTCCTAATGATAGATGGCCACTAAGGTTCCTACCATTTGTTCAAATTGGTGTTTAGCTGAGTTTTTATGTATTTCTGCACATCATTTAGGCCAATGTCTATACCTCAAATGCTCTTAATGACATCATTCCTCTCTTAAACAGGAAGCTCCATTAATGAGAAAGTTAGAGCAACACTTCAAAGTTTCTTAATATTGCTACAATGTACTATTTTCTTTTGCATACATATAATAGGTACATTATAAATATTACATTCCATTAATACTCTGGTCCCAATTATGTTTCTTGGTCTGATGATGTTTCTCTTCTTCAAAGATTTTGGCCATTCAGCAAATATTTCAGAGGACTGTGTGATGGGTATAGTACTCATTTTCATATTCTGGGCTTCTTCATAGCTTTATTTTATATGTTTTTTATTTTAACTTGCAACAGTATTCAGTCTATCATTCCATTTCTTATATATGTTTCTGGACTGTTTATATCACTCCACAGAGTCTTCTAGATCAGAGTTGGGCTGATATGGCTTGCCACCAGTTTTTATAAATCATGTTTACTTGAAATATCCTCACCCCATTAATATATTGTCTATGATTGCTCTCATTCTGCAATGGCATAATTCATTAGTTGAAAAAGAGAAGACTGGACATATTAAGAATCCCACAAAACTTAAACTATTTACTACCTTGAGTTTATAGAAAAAGTTTTGCACCTTCTCTATATTAATTCTATTTAGACTTATTTTTCCCCTTATTTTTGTGGTTCATATCTGCTAAGATAACATATTTTAGCTCTCTTTACTTGATAATGAGTTTATCTGATAATATTTTTATTTTACCTTTATTTTTAAAAGATATTTGCAATAAACATAGAGTTTGGAGTTTAGTGTTAAATATCTCTTTTAACATTGTATAGCTTTGACTTCCATAGTTTCTGATAAGAAGTTAGTAGTTTTTCAAATTCTTTTTTTCCATGTATGTTAATATGATTGTTCTCAATATTGTTTTTAGTATTTTATCATTATCTTTAGTTTTCAGAGGATTACCTATAATGTCCTTATGCATGCTCTTTTTTTCATATTTAACCTGTTTGTGATCCACCAAGGTTCATGAATTCCTAAATGTTTCTAAGTTTCGAAAAATCATGTTCTTTATTTCTTGAAAAAATTTTTCTACCCCATTTACTCCCTTCTTATGTAATTCAAATAACAGATATGTCAGCTATTTAGTAATATTCCACAGTCCTTGACTCTGTTTATATATTTCACATTTCCCCCTGTGTTCTTCTAATTAACTCTTTTTACCCCGCTGTCATTTTCATTCTTTGGTTAAGCCAAACTAGTTAATTTTTTTATTTTCCCCCCTTTATTGATTTTAGAGAGAGAGGAAGAGAGAGAGAGACAGAGACAGAAACATCGATGAGAGAGAACATTGATTGGCCGCTTCCTGCATGCCCCCAACTGGGGATTTGGCCCAAAACCTGGGCATGTGCCCTGACTGGGAATCAAATCAGCAACCTCTTGGTGCATGGGTTGATGCTCAGTCACACTGGCTGGGCTAAACTAGTTAATTTTAACTTAAATGTTTTTATTTTCAGTATTTCCATTTGCTTTAAAAAACCTTATATTCTTTTCTGTTGTTTCAAATGTGCTTTACTTCACTAGCAATAGCTAAGAAAATTCTATAAAAAATATGTTGAGAACAAAATTAAGAAAACCCATGTCCACCATTTTCTTTCTTTTTTAAAAAAAATATGTTTTTATTAATTTTTTTAGAGAGAGAGATAGAAACATCCATGTGAGAGAGAACCATCCATCAGCTGCCTTCTGCACGCCCCCTACTGGGGATCAAGCCCACATCCTGGGCATGTGCCCTGACCAGGAATCGAACATGGTCCTCTCAGTCTATGGGATGACACTCAGTTCACTGAGTCACGCTGGCCAGGCAATGTCCACTATTTTCAACATCTGATTTACCCTACCCTTGACATCTTGTGCTTGTCTCTCTTGAAAATTGGTTGTATAATTGGAGATGGAAACATTCTTAATATGCCCAGTAATTTGGAATTGTATCCTATACATTGTGATTATTATTATGTGGAAAATCTGGATTAGCATATTCTTGTTTAAATTTAATAAGCAAACTTTGTTTCTTGAGCAAGAGTTCTCCTTTCAAACCAGGTATTTTTTACTTTGCTAGATTCCCCCCCACCCCCACCCCACGCCCATATGTGTTCTTCAGGGGAAAGTTAAGAACTTGTGCAGAATTTATATATAAAAAACACTAGGCTCCTCCTCAGCAACTCTTTCCTTTGTGCAATTCCACCACATTCCAGTGGCTGTGTTTGCCTATTCACAACCCTGCTCAGTGACTTCTCTGCCCATCCTTTTGGATAAATATGGTATAAAGTGTATGTCATTTCATAGCTTTTCCTAACTACACTGTCTGTACTCTTCACTGCCTTTATGTGATTTTAATTTGCTTTTTTGTCATCTTTTTCTATTGTTTATAATTATTTTTTAGGCAAGATGATCCCCAATGTCTATTTTTTGAGAGTGTTTATGTTGGATTGATATTATTTTATTCTTTAAATGCTTTATAATATTTTGGCGTTTTGCACTAGTTTTCTTCAACAGAAATATTTTAATTAAAAAATTAATTCTTAGAGAAATGGACCATTCAGATTTCTGTTGTGCCAGTTTTAGTTATTTTTTGTCTTTTAAAATAATTTTTCAAATTTATAAAAGTTGTTGAATTTTTTTTGTCTAATATATTTGATAGTATTGCCTTTTAAATATGTGAGTGCCTATAGGATTTGTACTAATCAATTCTCTTATCCCTAAGATTGGCATTGTGCTCCCCCTTCTTCTCTCCTTCACTCTTTCCCTCCTTCCCCTCCTCTCCCCTCCTTTTTTACTTATCTACCTACTTATAGGTTTTATTAATCTTAAGCAAGATTATAGTTGTATTGATTATCTGTTTTTCTGTTTTATTATTTTATGCACTCATTATCATTGTCTTCTTTATATTACTTTGGATACATTTTTTTTCTTGCTTCTTAGGGCTGAAGTTTAGATAATGGTTTTAAACTATTACCTATTGTTTATTCATTTTCTATGTAATTGATTGATTTTCTTTATTTTTTTCTTTGATCCTACTCACTTTGGTTTTATTCACCATTGCTTTCTCCAAGTCCAATCAAATGAAAATTTAGTTTTGATTATATATAATTATTTTTATTATATGCATTAAACGCTTTTAAAGCTATACATTTCACTCTAAGTTTACTTCAGCTGAATCCCATCAATTTATGTTCTATTTTTATTACCATTCAGTTTAATACATTAAACATTTTTAATGTATTGCTTCTACTCAGATTATTTGGAATATTTGAAATCAGTGTATAGGTATAGAGGAACAAATGTTTTTGTTATTTTTTTTATTTAATTGCATTGTACTCAGTATGACTACCATCTTTCTGTTTGTTTTCCATCTGTTTCATTTGTTCTTTGTTACTTTTTCTCTGGATTTTTCATGCTTTTTAAAAATTATTTGGGTATTTATATTATAATTCCTTTTTAATCTCTACCATAGTTACTGTCCATATACATTTATGTTATTTTAGTGTTTTCTTAGTGGTTAAAATATGCCAAACTTTTCACAGTTTACTTTCAAATAATATATCACTTATATGACATATAGGACTCTTATATCACTATATTTATTTTTCTTTCTGTGTGTCCAATTTGTTATTGTTGCATATAATTTACTTCTGTATATATTTATTATAAATACCAAAATGAATTGTTACTATTTTGGCTTCAAACAATTATATTTCAATGACTTTATTAAAATTAAGAAAACATTTTTTAAATATTTACTCAAACTTTAGCCTTTCTTGTGTTGTTCTTTTACTCTTTTTTCACTTTCTCTTTAACTCTTCTCCCACAGACCATGGTGCTACTTTATTTCTATATAAATAAGCTTCACTGTGCAATAGTAAATAGTTATGTAGCAAATTTAAAATGACTGTATTTTATTACCATTTTTGGTTGCTCGTCAAGAACTTCATAGTCTATAAATGCAAAATTATTCAAGTATTTTCTCAATAAATTATTCAGACTTTATTTTATATAAGAAATACTGGATGTAAATTGAAGACAGGGATGTTGTGTTTGGTACTTTTCTTTGTGTCAGACATAATTTGCACATAACTGGTGCTCATTTAGTGATTTTAGGTGTGATTTTTGATTTGCAGACAGGGAAATGTAGCTAAGATATGAAATTTGGTCTGCATGACAAGAAATAGTAGATGGTTTATTAAAAAGCTCTCAAATAAAATGTCAAAAACAAACAGTTTGAAATGACTGAAACATTTTATTCTTTACAGTAATGTGTTCTCTAACTTTTATATTTCAAAATTATTTTTATATGCTTTATTTACAATGTCCTCACAATAACCCTGTAAGGTAACAGGCAGATCCCAGTATCCCAGTTCAAGGGAAGCCCCAGGCTGTGTGGGGAGACACACAACTTGCTCAGTGTTATGATTAGTAAGGTGCTTGCTAACCGTTAAGTTTGAACCAGTGTGTTTCCTGGTTTTAAGTCCAGAGGTTTTCCTCATGTGCACCCGAGGGCATTCTAAATGCTCTTCCACGCCATAAAAAGTGGGTCATGAATAATGAGGACATGTTTCAGTGTTTGCTCTAGAGGATGAATTGGAACGAGCACTATAATCTCATGCAAGCAGTGCAAGGACAGTGTTAACACTCTGTGCTGTCTTGGAGGCCACTGATCTCTTCTTCTTTTGTACTTGTGTTCTTACAGTTTTTGTATCTGAAATGAAAGAAACAGGGATGGCAGAATTCATTGTAAGTGTTGGATATGGTGTCAAAAAGGAACAATACAACTTATCTGTACTTCATTAGGCAGTTACAAATCAATCTAGGAATATTGTGTTCTCACAGCAATCTGTGACGTGGCTTGTTAAATTATTCTCATCACAGGAAGGGCCTAGAAGCTGGGAAAAAAACCACTAAGTAAATTGCAGAGATTTACATCCAAGAATAGTGTCATAATTTCTTCTCTCTGGGTCCTATTTTTGGAGGGGGGAAAAAGTGCAATTACTAGAAGAGACTGGAGCCAAAACTCCTGTGGTTAAATTTCCAGAAATTCTTGACTAAAAACCCAGCTCTCGGCTTTCTTTAGGTTTAGACCTAGAGCTAGTACAATGTTACTTGTAGCACGTTCAAATGGTTAAGATGAGTCACAGAGCCAACCAGGTTCAATGTCAGAGGAGATGATCAAAGACAAGAATACTGGGTGGGGGGCGGGGGGGAGCATTCATTAGGAACCACTTTTGGAAACTATATGCCACACAACTAAATATGGAGAAAAGACTTGAGCAGACTTTTCTTGAGAGAATAAATAAGAATAAGGATGACTAATACAGCCAGCAATACAATGTTGTTGAACATCATTAGTTATCAGGGTAATACAAAGTAAGACCAACTGAAACATCATTTATACCCACTAAAATGACTAAAACATTTGCAATCATTGGCCCAGACGTGAAGTACCTGTAACATTCATTTAGTTGCTGAGAATTTAAAATAGTACAAACATTTTGGGAAGTAATTTGGAACTTAATAAATTTTTATAAATGCACCTATCATATGGCCCAGCAATTCCGATCCTCGGTATTTGCTCGTGAGAAAGAAAAAATTTTCTCTTAGGAAAATATTTATAACACTTTTATTCATAAGAGTTAAAATCTGGAAAAATTCAATGTTTATCAAGTGGTGAATGGATACACAAACTGTGCTGTGTACAACATATAAAACTACCAAGTAATTAAAAAAGCCAACTATATAATGTATGCATAACAATGTGGATGAATGTCAAAACTTTTGTTGAGCAGAAAGTCAATAGAATACAGTAGGATGCATACCGTACGTATATTACATGAGGTCCTAGAAGAGAACAAAGCAAGGGTGATCAAATTCAGTGGTTTACTGGGAGGTGGGCAGGTTGACAGCAACCCGGCACATGAAAACTTTCTGGGGTGATTGGAACATTCGTTGTCTATTTCTAAATATTTCAAGTCTTGAGTGAATTACATATAGTTTTTGGAACGTTGGTTATCTTTTTCTATATATTTCAAATCTTGACAAGAATGAATTACTGTACATATAGTTTTCAGAGTTTATCAAACGGTTCACTTAAAATCAGTTCATATTTAATATATTTTATATTATTGTAAATAAAATTGACTTAAAATCCCGTAAAAAGATAATTTGCACAAGTTATTTAATCTCTCTGCATCCTAGCTTCCTTTTCCAAAAAGTATGTATACTACTCATACATCTCAAAGGAGCTATTATGTAAATAAAACATGTAATGTAATTAGAACAATATTTGGTACATGGTAAAATCTATAAAGTCTGATTATTATTTTTTTATCTTTAACTCTCCTTTAACTTGCTATAGTAATAGAAAGGGAATATAATTTTAAAAGCAGTAATAACAGGTAAATCCTAGGCTCATTCAAAGCGTATTTCAGTTATAAAGGACCTAAATAGTGATCTGTTTTTTACTCATTAACTTTATACACAATCCATGAATCCTCATTTGAGTTAAAATATGCCAAATAAGTTTCTGAAGATGCAAAGTAGGTCAGTGAGAAAGGGGAACCTTTTCCTAGCAACTTTTGGAATGGGATACCATCACAAAGCATCAGTACCTTGGGACATTTGAAATATTTTGAAATTTGAGATTAAAGGTTGGGATTAAAAATGTATATTATTATTTTTTATTTTTTTTCCAATTTTTATTAATTTATTTTTGTTACAAATGTTTATCCTCCCCCCCCAAACACCTTCCTCCCCATCCTGCCCCCCCTCCCCCCCGCATTGTTGTCTACTTCCATTGGTTATACATACATGCATATAAGCTCTTTGGTTCATCTCTATATTATTTTAATAAGCCCGATAAGGAGTAGATTGGCCTTCTGAATCCCTTCCTCATGCCATATAGTCACTACTGTAGTCTCAATTTGCAGGAGGTACATGAGTAACTTTTTTAGATAAATTAGATTTGACAAATGTAGGCATAGCAAGTACACATGGTATCTCTCCCCAGGAAAGGGTATTGAGTAGAATATAACAGTCAGTTTTGAGGTCCTGCCTGTGTTGGCCCTCTACTCTGCATTTATAATAAAATCATTATAATTATGCTTCTGTGGGAAGGACAGGTGATATGTCCTGTTACAGTCACCAGGGGTAGGATAGCAAGAATGCCTAAAAAACTGGAAGATCCAAGCCTTTACAAACTTGTCTCAGAAAAAAAAACCCTTCTCCCCATATAGACCTGGCATTTTTGGTGGTTTTTTTTGTTTTTTTTCTGTATTTTTTAAAACTTTTTTTTTTTCATTTAAGTTTTTCATAATGATTTTAGAATGCTTTTGCAAATTTTAATAAAAAATATGTTATGAATTGTGAGTTTGTTTTGGTCTGAATGTGCCCACTTAAAATTTATATGTACCTTAGAATGTGACTATATTTAGAGATAGGACTTTAAAGAAGTAATTAAGGTAAAATGAAGTGATACGGAAGGGCTCTAGTCTGATATGACTGGTGTCCCAGTAAGAGGAGGTGATTCGTACACAAACACAAACAGAGGGTAGACCATTTAAAGTCGCAAGGAGAAGACAGCCATCTACAAACCAAGGAGAGGGGCGGGGCACCCAGAGGAGCCAAACCCGCCAACTTTATTTTAGACTTCTAGCCTCGAGAACTATGAGAAAATATATTTTTATTGTTTTAAGCTACCCAACATGTGCTATTTTGTTGTGACAATGCCAACAAACTAATGCTATTATATTGGATAAAATATGTAGTTAAGTTTAAGTTATTTACATGATGGTAATATAATTTTTTATCATTGGATATGTCTTGACATTTGTATAAGTTCTTCATATAAAGGTAATTTCAAAATTGTGATGTTAACATTTTTTAGAAACTATCCACATATAAATTTCTAATGCTAATATACATATTACATCAAATATTTATGACTAAAATCAATATTCACCATCTTATCATTTATATTGGGATTTTTCAACCATGTTGAAAAATGAGTTATTTTCTTTTCCAGTCCATCACATGATTACAAAAACTGATTTCTCAAAGAAAAACTAACAAACAAAAACATCCTCTTTCTCTTTCTTACCTTCTTTCTATATCCTGTATGGTGTCTGGGAGAGGAAGGTTTAAAGTCTCTGGTAGGAAGTAGACACAGATGGAGGCCACAACGGGGAACGTGCCACACAGAATCATTGGCAAGGGTTCAAAATACTGTCTGGTGATCGATACTAGACTTCCTAGAGATGCGCCCAAACCAGTGATGAATAAAATCACACCCTCTGCTTTGGACCTGGAGAATAAGAAAACATTGTTTAAATAAATCTGTGTCCTCTCTTGGTGACCTTCATCTGTGAAGCCTTTCTTGACAACCTTAACACAAGGTCATCTTTCTCTCATTGAATTCCACTGGTTTAAAATATGTGTATCGTATCTTATAAATAAAGACAAGATATAATAGTTATAATTTGCGATTGTATTTGATTCTCTACTTTATAGTGCTTCAGGGATTCTCCTTGGGCTGAAACTGAGATCTAAATGCCTTACTAAGTTCATTACTATGTTGCCAACCTTAGCGCATGATAGTGTTTTCCCCCTTGTATGTTAAATTTCAGTCACATTGGCCGAGTTACTACATCCTGTAGTAGAACTTTTTTATTTGATTTATTTTTTTTAGATAATCTCATATGCTGGCTTTCGGATTACAATTTAAATGTCTATCCAGAAAGAATGAGGCCTACTCTAACACCCCTTGCTGGTTCACACCCTCATTCTTGATCCAGCGGAAAATCCTGTTAATTTCCTTTACACCATGTATATAAATGTGAAATTTCTTTGTTATTTATGTTTTCTCACTTATTGTCACTGACTACTAATAAAATAAGTTTTTGAAGGAAAGCCCTGTTTTTTGTGTTCATAGACTTATTGTCAGGGGCCTATATTTATGTGTAGCTCATAGAAATTTCTGAAATCGTATTATTTTTTTCTTTCTTCTTCCTTTTCTTGCTCTCCCATCCTTATCCCTTTCTTCTTTTCCTTTTTTTCTTCTTCCTTCTCTACTTCTTATGTAGAAATGTGTTTTAATTAACGAACTATATGCTCTTTGCAAGTATGTGCACTAGAATGTTATTTATATCACATTGTATATCCTGTTTGTGTGCCCTTTACAAATACAGATAAATTACTTTGGAACCCTGTGGGGCTTTTTTGATGATTTTGAAATGCTTCTGCCTTGGAATATTTATTATCTCAAAAAAAAACCAAAAAACTGTTCTTTAATGTATGCATTTACTCAATTCTGTTGAAAAAGTATTATGATTTTTGTACAAAGTCCATTGAATATTTAGTGTATTCACATTCACTTTTATTTTTTTTATCCTCACCTGAGGACATTTTTGCATTTATCTTCAGATAGAACAGGAGGTAGGGAGGAAAAGAGAGAGAAAAACATCAGTGTGAGAGAGAACATCGACTGGTTGCCACCCACACGACCCTAACCGGAGCCGGGGACAAACTGCAATGGAGGTACATGCCCTTAGCGGGAACTGAACCCAGAACTCTCTGTTCCGTGGGCCGACACTCCAACTGCTGAGCCAAATCGGTCAGGGCTCGCATTCACTTTTAAAAAATAGATTAGGTGGATCTCAAATAGTAAACAAATGGGTAAAGCCCTGGCCAGTGTTGCTTAATGGTTAGAGTGTCAGCCATCAGAAAAAGGGTCATGGGTTCGATTCCCAGCCATGGTCAAGGCATGTGTGGGAGGCATCCAATGGATATGTCTCTCTCACATTAATGTTTTTCTCTCTCTCTTCCCCACTTCCTCCCTCACTTCCACTCTCTCTAAAAACCAATGAAAAAAAAAACTATCCTCAAGTGAAGATTAACAACAACAACAAAAGTGGGTAGAGGTTCTGCATGATGATTGAGTGTGATATTGAGTCTGAAATCCCATAAAACTTGCATGCTTTGGTTTATGATATATTGCGAAACTGTTTTAATGATTACTGTTACAATCATCAGATATAGTTCTCTAGTAATGATTCAGTTCAAATCATGTTGTAGTTTAAATTCTGAGAAAAATACAAAAATATTTTATTGTGTTTATGGGATTGTGCATTAATGGAAAAACTTAGATGTGTAAGACAAAGGCAGGGTGGGATTGAAAAGATCTAATGAGTAAAAGAATAGCTGGGCAAGAAAGCTTAGTAGGTGTTGATGAATGTACTTGTGAAGGTGAGAGAGATTCAGAGGAAGATCTCTGGGGCGAGTAGTTGTGATTACTTTCAAAAATATCCGAATTTTGAGAAAATATTCTAGACTAACTGTGGGTAATCAAAATGTTTGTCAAGGGTGGTTTTTAAATGACCACGGTAATTAGATAACGTTCCTTGGAGGAGAGACTTCATTTAGACTTGTTTAAATACCTAGCATGTTCCGGGTAATGCTCAATGGCAGTCTTAGTAGGGCGAGGTCAGCGGCTTACCTGATCCCTGTGGGTATGAGTTCATGATTATAGGTCATACTCATGTTGAAGTACATTGCCATACATCCTTTTCCCAACGCAGCAAGTCCAAGGCGTACAACAGGTATGTCTGTGAGGTTAAGCGACATTAAGTGAGGTTCAGGTCATTTGAGTGCCTGGTTCAGTATGATGAAGCACATAAATTACCTAGCATGTATAACCTTGTCTACCTTTGATTATTTGTAGTGACACCCACCTCTTTTAATGAGTATATATAGCATTAATAAGAATATTTTAATTGATTTTTAAGTAGGAGTCTAATATTGAACATCAATGTTAAACCAGTATACACATAATTATTTTGTTTAGTCCAGAATGATGATGGTAACGATGATGACAAAGTTGATGATGATGATGATGATTAGAAAAACAACATATGTGGGGTAGGAAATATGTGATATTTTTTAGTCTTTTCCTCAGATATGAGGTTATAGTTTTTTCCCTATTCTGATATTGTTTAGATGACTTCATTTTCCAATATTCTTGGAGTCAGAAACTGAAGCTACTTTAAAATTCTCTCTAGAACTTCAGATAAACTACTACCATGAATTGCTGATGAATTTGCATGTGATATGAATGTAATTGAAGGGCTTCTAAGGAATGAGGATTCTGTTTAACTATGAATAGACAAGAATTTCTCCTAGAGAACCTCAGTTAAGTGGCCATGCTTCTAAAAGTACCCTTTACCCGTTAGAGCCATTGCAGTTTGCAGAGAGAATGGGTGAAGAGGTGAGCACTTTCTATACCTATTGATAATATGTTTGTGTTCTCAAACCACTGACAAAATGAGCTTAGATTTTTTAAAAGTGCATTAACTGTAGGTTTTTCTGAATATGACAAAAATGTAGTGGGGACTTCTGTAAACTCAAAGATATTCTCTTTAGCTCTGACCAGATTGGCTCAGTGGTTGGAGCGTCGGCCTGCAGACCAGAGAGTCCTGGGTTTGGTTTCCACTAGGGGCACATACAAAAAAAAAAAAAAAATCTCTTTGAATAAATCCTTGTGTTACAGCCAAAGTGTTTAAATATTTCTTCACAATAGCCTGAGACCGGAGTTCCCATTTATCTCAGTTAAAATTCAAATACTTACAAGACACTCTAAACTTCGAAAGACACACTAATCTTCCTTACACCGTATCAATTCAGATATATAATTCAATTACATTTTATAATACCTCAACTTATGTAAAGAAATCAGTTGTACTTTATAATATATCAACTTTATTATATAATCTAATTTACTCTATATTATAGTCTATATTGCATAATATAGATGATATCTTATGAAATTATATTTATATATAGATAATTACTTAAACATAAATACATGTTAAACTCTACTGTTTTATTGTTATTAATTTGATGTTAAAATACCTAGATAATGACACCATGCCGCGATGAAATTATTGTCCACATGTGAATTTGATCGTACATTAAACACCAACAAACTTCTTTGATCACACTACCAATATCCTTGAACTTTTTTTCTGAACACTGCCGTTCTCACCTTTGGGCACAAATATATTGACTAAGATACATAGTCCACCTAAGAAGAGGGAAGAAGCTACGGAAGGTCGCCGTGGCAGGAACTTCATCACCAGCAGAGAGAGACATTTTGATGGAAAATCCACGACTCCAAGGAGAGCCTGAGACAAGAACACATTGCTCCCTAAGTTTTGTAAATCGGTCATCACTCCGTAATGGAAAAAAATTGCAGAAAATCTGTAAAAGAGAATAGAGAATGAATAGACGTTAAATAAATACCTACTGTTTGAATATTTATTATATATTTTTTTCATCATGGATACACCATACTTAGGGAAATTATAGCTACTATACAAGTCAAAGATGCCGTGATACTATACCTCTCTTCCACAACAAGCACGGAGATCAAATGAAGTGAGCAAGAGAGGTGTTTGTGCCCAACCACCAGTTTTTATTGAGGACAAAATTTACCTCTGGGATTTTCACCTCCAGCAGGTGGACTGTTACTAAGGCTGAGAAAATAGAGGCTTAAGCCTTTTTTACTCGGTGACCACTGACGACTGACGTGCAACATGGTTCTGTGTTAGAGGTACACGATTTACTTATTTGAAGATGAGTGGCTTCTGCGTTTTTCAAATAACTTTCTTCCTATTTTTTTTCAGGATGAATGATTTATGTCACAAAATCCATAACTAATATAAGTGTTAAATAAATATTAACAAGTTTGTGATTAAAATGATTAAACTGAGGAAAGAAAATCGTATCTCTTTATGTGAAGATTGTTTTTAAAAATGTTTTCAGTTGGGAAAGTAGTATATGATGGAAAAATGTTAACAGTGTAGATGTGCACATATTGCTATATTATAAAACATGGGAAACAATAATAGAACATACTGTTTTTACAGTATCACAGGGGCATCTAAAAATGAGGCCATACAAATAAATGTCTTATTCACCTTCTTTGATGGCAAGGCAATTCAGACAAACAGAGGTCAATTATAAAAATATCACAAGAAAACTTCTATTTTTGGAAATTAAAAACATAGGTCTTAATAATCCATATTTCAGTGAAAAAATCTTAATATAATTTAGCAATTATTTTGAATGAAACAATACAGTACAGCACCACCTAACATGTTTGATATAGAAAATGAAATATTTAGACAGAAGTTTTCAATTCTTAGGAAAATAGGCATCAAACTAATGCTTTCACTATTGTTTACAGGAAAGAAGAAGGAATAACAAATGAAGAAGGAAAAAAATGCAATGAAGAGCAGTAATAATTGAATCAGAACTATAACAAAATAGAATAATGTTTGTGTAGTTTGGTCTTTCCTTGGTTAATAAAAGTTCTCTCTCAGGATTAAGGAAATTACTTTAAACAAAACTAATTCTAGTTTAGAGAACTTGTAACAATTTTAAATTAACATGTTAAAATGATATCAGTTAAAATATATTCATTTTGATTGCATAATATAACAACCATAATGATAATTAAATGTTCAACATGTTGATATCCTATTAAGACCACAGAACTTAAGCTCCTCTCTCAAAAGAAGGAGTTTAGACATAATTTGTTTAGGATTTTTTTGTATAGGAGGTTTTTATTTTCTTCTCTCTGTATGCATTTATCCAATCATTTATTTATACCAATATGGACACACAGATATTTATTTTTTAAATCCAATACTTCATTTTTTATTTTGTTGCTCACATTATTCTTAAATTGGCCCGTTGGTCCCTTGATATGCTATACGCCAGTCACTGTGTGTGTGCATTTCTTTCCCAGTACCTCCTTTCTCTGATACTCCAAGTTTGTCTAGGCTCATGTATGTTCTGTGTTCCAGCTCTAGAATCAGCCATTTGTCCAAGTGGCCCTGTTTTGTTTTGGTTTGAGTTTTTTTTTTCTGTCTTTTTCAGTGTATGAGAGAATGATGTTATGAATTGAGAACTGGGCACTAGGTACTTATAGTTACTGGAATATCATTGCAGGTAGGCCCTCTCGTCTGACAGCAAGGACATGTACGTGTGTATACTAACCCAAGTCTGTATACCTCCCTTTATCTACTTCTGTGTCTGTAAATATGCATTAGTCTACACGTGAGCTCACACGGATGTCTCCAACTCTAATCTAGTACGAGGTAGTGCATTCTCGCCACCCTCTCTTGCTTATCTGTAAACTCCTTCTCTAACAATGAGGAGCCTGCCTCCTACACAAGCCATCTACTTCTTTGCTCAATCCTAGTATGTTCAGAAGTTTCAGACGTGTTAACCTGTGCGCCTATGTGAAACAATTTTACTAACTGGAGTTCGGTGCTGGTGTGCAGTTCCTTTTGTCCTTAGGCTCTTGCTTTCAACTCATGTCTAAAATTACTTAGGTCAACCTTTTTCCCCATCCCCTTCAGGAGGTGATATCATACGGCTATGGCGCACTTACATTCTTTAACACAGGCTGCACCTATCCTAAATTCTCCCAACCCCCTAACAGACTTCTTAAAAGTTTTCACATGTTAATTAAAATTATGTATGTACTGTAAAGTTATATAGGTTTGAAAGAATGCATAGGGGTCTGTACCTAATACCACAGCTCCATACAGAGCGGTTTCACAGGCCTGGAAAGATCCAGTGCTTTGCCTAGTTAATCTCCCTCCTCTCCCAGCTCCTGACAGCTGCCGCTGTTTCTCATTCTACAGCTCTGCCTGGCTTTCTTTTTCATTACAATACTTGCCACACCTTGCCCTGCTATATATTTGCTTGCTTATTATCTTTTATTCCTTTCTAGAAAGCATATTTAATGACAACAGGGCTTTATCTGTGTTGCACACTGCTGGGTTTACAGGGTCTAGAGGAAGAATGGACAAGGGTTACATAAATATCTGTTGAAGATTGTATATTAAAATGACACAGCTACATTTTGAAATAAGTATCATCACAATTTTATAATTGAAGAGGGGAAGCAAAGTACCCACTATCACATAGCTAGTGAGTATTTTATTTATTTATTTATTTTTAAAATATTTTTTCTTTATTGATTTTAGAGAGAGAGGAAGGGAGAGGGAGAGAGAGATAGAAACAATGATGAGAGAGAACTTCGATAGGCCACCTCCTGCCTGCCCCCCACTGGGGATTGGGCCCACAACCTGGGCTTGTGCCCTGATCGGGAATTGAACCAGAGACCTCCTGGTGCATGGGTCAGTGTTCCACCACTGAGCCACACCGGCTGGGCGCTAGTGAATATTTTAGCAAGAAGCTGCACATAGTCCTGTGACTCAAAACACTATGCTGTTACCCACCATGCAATGGGATGTGGTGTCTAATGTAAACGGAGTTGGTCTTCTATCCTGAATTAAGCTGTCAACTACTCTTACTCTATTAGAATCTTGCTACCAGTCTTCTATGAAACACCAAGGTTTCTGCTACTTTATTTTTCCACAAAACTCTATAAAACACATATCCTTTCCAACACTAGCCCTGATTTTACTTTTTGTGTTTTAAATTACATATATTTCTGCTCTACCTCCCAAATGGGACTAAATTGATGGTTCCATTTGTAGTGAGCCTGGTTCTGGTGTATGTTATCTCAAAGTGACCGAAGGAAGAGAAAAGACAAACCTCAGGAAACACAGGAAAAAGATTATCTTGCACATGAGGGGATTTGCCATGACCTTTATTTTCTTGGAACTACATTTGAGGAAAGTGAGTTCTTCTCTCATTGCAGATTGTAAAACCTTCAAAGTGAAAGACATTTGAAACAAACACATTGAAAAGCATTAATGAAAAAGGAAAAAAGAATCATAGGGACCATTCATAAACTTATTATTTTCCCTATAATCATTTTATATTCTCCTCCAGATCATTTTGCAATCCTACTAGAGCACAAAAGAAATATAATTTCTTTGTAAAGAAATGTATTCTTACACTTATGAAATTGTGCATTGCTCTTTTATACATTATAAACTCTTTTGAACTTTTTAACTCACTTGAAAATGTACAAATCCTGTGTACAAGTTAAGTAATTGGTATTAATATTACTCTCACTTTAAAGGGAGAGTAAGACTAAATGAGATTAAATAACAAAACACATGGAACCTTATACAACACAAACCTTAAATGGTTTCTGTTTATATCTTCATTTTATCACTGTGTGTTATATTATTTCATGTCAGTCTTTGAGCAGAACTAGTCATAGTTTTCCACTTGGTACTTGGAACAATGTTTCTATTCCAGGGCTATTTCTTTATGAATTAGGAATACTTCCAAGTCTTAGCCTATTGATGCAGTTATAATCTATTTTTCCATAAATGTCCAGAAGTGTCATACATCAGTACTACTATAAAGAGAAGGAAGAAAACAGTGGACTTCAAGTTTTTGCTTTTTGTGCTGCAATAGCTTTATGTGATGGCACCAAGTCCAATTGTGAAAGAAAACCTAATCCTTATTATGAAGATTGCCTGTGGCTTACATACTTGAGTTATACTCTGCATTTAATATATTTCTATTGAAATGTAGGCTATTACTTTTAGAAATCATATTATTTGATCATCAATAATCAGTTATTCAGTTATAAATCCATGGTGAAAAATTATTACTGAAGCTTTTCCTTCAATAAAGAATCTTCTTTTAGTACCTTTGCCAAATGGGTTGGATTTTTCTAATTTGTTTCCTTAAATCAAAACCATGGTACACAAAGACATTTGAGAGAAAAGGTCCTATATAATCTAACAGGGAATAATGAGAGATATTGGGGTTAATACAAAACCCATCATCTAATTTCTAAGGGAGCTTTCCTGAACTCATGAATAACTTCCATACATTCATTCTTCATAAGTCTATATAGTGTGACCTTGTCATCACATACCATACTGTACCAGCCAGGCTACCTCCAGCGGTGGTATTTTTTCATTCTCTTCTGATAGGATTAATTAGATGGTCAAAGAAGCTCGGTGTCTTTGTCTATATTTTTGTTCATTTTTGGCTACTGTGTTTTTTTGTTTGTTTGCTTTTGCTTTCATTGTGGTGATGCAGTTTATTTATATTGAGTTTACCTTGATAAAGAAGAAACTTCAAGACATTCCTTTTTTTGCCCCTTACCTCAATATGCAGATTCTCTTCAACATCTTTTTTCCCATTTATATGGGCTACTTTCTTCAATACTTCGAGTGCTTTTTCCAGCTTGCCAGATACAATCAACCAGCGGGCAGACTCTAATGACCACCTTTATGAAGTAAGGCAGAGACACTGAGATGGGGTAGGAGGCCAGTCCCAAACAGGGTAAGAATCCAGAGACCTGGATCCCATTCAGTGTGGTGGGCTCGCCTGGAACACCATGGCCTCTCCAATTCGGAAGGAACTCAGGCTATTTTCCTGTCTCAGCATTTAACTCATTGTTAATTTATTTTTAAATTTTATGTTTATATTATGTTTAGATTTAAAAACAGCATTTCTGATCTTTGAACTTTATAATGATGTCCCATAAGCCATTGCCCCATTGACCCCCCCTTTACAGTAACTACTGCCAGCCTCAGACGGTAAAGATCCCGTAGCTCAGCCCCCATGAGGTTCCACCGTGTCTCCTGCAAGCTTCAGTTTCTCCATGTTACAGTCATTAATTAAATTAGAGTTTCATTTTTCTCTAACAAACATGCTCCTTATTAATTATTTCTTTGACATTGATAGTAATGTGTGTGTGAACCCAAGTAAAATTCTATTTTTAAATGCTTACATTAATTAATTTAATATTTAATTTAGTGTATTCCTTGAATTTTTAAGATTTATTTTTTGAGTCCTTTTCTGCACTTCTTTTCTCATTCCAATAAGGCGATGCAGAGTGACAGCAGTCCATATTTATTAAAAGTTTCAGTGCCCAGCCCTGGCTGGTTTGATTCAGCAGTTAGAGCATTGGCCCGTGGACCAAAGAGTCCTGGTTCGATTCCAAACAAGGGCATGTACCTCAGTTGCAGTTCATCCCTGGCCCCGGTTGGGGTGGTGCGGGTGACAACAATTGATGTGTCTCTCTCACATCATTGTTTCTCTCTTTCTCTTTTCTTCTCTCCCTCCTGCTCTATCTGAAGATAAATGGAAACATATCCTCGGGTGAGGATTAAAAAAAAAGTTTTGCCCTGGCCGGTTTGTCTCAGTGGCTAGAGTGTCGGCCCACAGACCAGAGAGTCCCGGGTTTAGTTCCCACTAAGGGCACATACCTTGATTGCAGTTTGTCCCCGGGCCCAGTTGGAGTCCTGTGGGTGGCAGCCAATTGATGTGTCTCTCTCACATCAATGTTTCTCTCTCTTTCTCCTTTCCCCTCCCTCTCTCCCGTTCTATCTGAAGATAAATACACACACAAAAAAAGTGTCCTTGGATGAGGATAAAAAAAAAGAAATTTCAGTGCCCAATATTCACAAGGGAAACAAACAGAAGTCTACCTACCATTGGAATAGGAAGAACGCAAAGTAAGGCACAGAAATGGACAATTGTAGCATACGCCAGTCTCGGAAGACATAAGCCAGTCCAGCCAGTAACACCTGTCCAGTGCTTAGAACCAGAGACATTGCTGTTATGACCATGGGTATGGCATTAGTTGGCAGCCATTCTATAACTTAAGAAAAAAAGTATCAACACAAATCATATAAACAGTGTGTTAAAAACTTGACAAAATTAGGTGAGAGAAGACAGTAACAAAGTCAAACTTACGGATTACAAGAGTATTGTTGTAGATGTTCCCCAATGCCATTGCCATAAGAAATCGAATTATACAATAGATTGAGAAGGTTGGGACATAAATTGAACCAGTGCCCAGTATTGCAACTAACAAGGGAGAAACCAGTAATGCAGGTTTCCGGCCAAATCTAGGAGAGAACCAGTAGAGTTAGCAAACAATCTAAAAAAGTAAAAGTCTATATGCCATTGTACAATGTATGAATTATTCTGAGAATTTCCAGCTTGGGAGGTATCTGCTCTTCTGTGTTCTTTCCTTTCTTATGACAGGTATCCCATTGTGTGAAAAAATTCTGATAAACATACTCCTTTCCCAAAAGAGTAAGTTCTGTGTGATCAAAATAGTTTTTACACATCCTAGAAATATCGGTATTTAGTTATGTCTGAAAAATAATAGCTTTTAGTGATGGTTCATTGGACTGACTCTTATCAAATAAATCTAATTCATTAAATTGCCCCAACTTTTTCCCTGCCTTCTGAATAACTTATCAGGCCACCGTAATCTCTCTGTCACCATCCTCCAAAAATCAATCCTTCCTCTGTTTTTTCTTCAGTTATAAGGTTTTCTATATCTGTTCATTTATTCTTTTGAGTGAAATCTTTCAGGATTTTGTAACACTTCATAGTCTTCTTACTTTTAAAATGCCCGACTAACCAGTTAATCTATTTGCATTATTGCACATTCCACCTCCAATTTCCTTTGCTTACTCTTGACAGATTGTTTTCTAAGAATTGTTATTATGTCTCAAAAATATCAATAACTCAATTATGTTTTACTGTATAAAGAATGCTATCCAAATTCCTTAACCTGGAGTTAAAATCTTTTCAAAATCTTATGACTTTTATATGAAATTTTGCTTTATGCACTTTATCCAACTAATTATTTTTCTGCTTTACTTTTAGAAAATATACCTCTAAGACGTCTTTATTTTTACCACTACACCATTAATTTTACTTCTTGAGTTATTAGCTAATACATAAGACTAAAGGTAACTACCATAGCGTTTGCGATTTGGTAGCACATGATATTGGTGCCTTGCCAATCACTTTATTATTCAATGTTCTCATACCTTCAAATGGCTTCTAAGGCCAAACACCTGTTTCCACCACCCAAGGGCTTTCTCTGACCATAGTAGCAAAGTTGTTTGGCACAGGGAAGATTCTAGGTGCCAGGATATGCTGTCTACCATCTTCTTTACTTTGTAGGTAGCACTACTCTGAGGCATGCTAATACAGTCTCCCGGACAAAGGGATTGATCCTCAGGTTCCCATATGGTAACCTGCTTAGTAATATACCTTATATTAGTTTCCTCCCCCTCCCCACTTCCCTCTTCCTGCCTCCTTGGATCACATCCCAAATAAAATCTTGCACACAAATCATTGCCCTAAAATTTGATTCAAGAGCAACTCAAACTAAATCAGAAGACTTGCCTTTCAAATGATGAAGGTCTACTCAGTCAGCACTGTTTGGCATCTACCCTGTATTCCAGCTGCAACTAAGTAGAATATCTAATTTTTTAATAAGACTGCTTTTACCACTTTCCAGGTCTTCAGCCTTAAAAGTTGTACTCTTAGAGAATATATGTATTATATATTTTGGGTCATTTATGAATCAAATATGAGACTTACTTGTCAGTAATATAGCCACCCATAGAAGATCCAAGCATGTATCCTGCCATATAAATGGATTGTGACAATAATTTGAGTGACTGTGATTCACATACTAAATCCCACTGAAAAGAGAGAATGGGGTAAATCAAAGGTCACACAAATGAAACTGGACATGTAAGTAGTAAAATCATTTATTGTGAAAAATTACTTTGATGATCTATACTTGAAAATGGGAGATATATGTTTAAAAATATTTAAAACTTGCTAAGTACTTTATATTTCATAAGCTCTTATTATGTTCTAAGTGCTGTGAGAGGCCAAAACATGCTTTGTTAAGGATTTGAGAAATTAAGGAAGTCAGAGGGATATAGAACAAATACTTCTGGGATTAGTGGAGATGATAATACATGTGAAGTGTTAAGGTGATATATTAATGGAGAACTAAAATAATCCGAAAGGACAGGAATTATTTTTGTTAAAAAGTGTAATCTGAAACGTGATTCCTGTATGAAAGGAATGGAGAGATTGTGAGGAAAGGGTGAGCATAGTAAGTGTTCTTTAGGCTGAAGGGATTTAAGTCTATTTTATTCCATTGAATTTTATTCCATTCGTGAAAGTTGCCAATAATTACATGGAGAATGTCTGGAGAGAAAATAACTGTAAGATGTATGGCATGATATAAAAATGGAGAGATCATTGAAATTTTAAATTGGAATACAAATAATGAACTAAGACAAATAATTTAACATGTTTTAAAGACTATAAATTAATGGATTTCTGTTTAGGAAAATACAGTTTGCTGTAATATTTAAAACAAAGGAAAATATAAATGTAGGGGAGAAAAATAAGGCTATTAAAATGATGGGGATAAAGTTATTTGACTGATTTGATAACATTGGAAGTAGAAATATCAATATAGACACCAAAATAAGTTTTATAATAAGATGATAAAAAATTTGAGTAAAAAGATGGAGAAAAAAGAAAATTAATTATGGCTCCCAGATTTGATTTGCATAAAATCTACATCTCTGATATGTGCAACACTGAATAGAAAATTGTAGTGAGAAATACATTAGATCAAAGTGTTTTTGAGGCATTCAAATGGGTATTTACAGCAGGTAATTATATATTTTAAGTACTTTCACTTGTTTTTTATACTAGAAATCTGAAACTTTTAATAAAAATATGAAAGAAATAATGAGTAGATCCAAAATGGCAGAGGAGTAGGTAGAAGCTATATTCACCCCCCTCCTAGGACCAAACCAGAATTACAACTAAATTTTAGAACAATTATCCGAATAATCAACTGAAGTCTAGCTTAATAGAAGTCTTAAAACCAAGGATTTACAAAAGAAGCCACATCAAGACTCATAGGAAAGGTAAGATGTGAAAAGGTTGCCAAAATGGGGAGAAAAGAAACATGTCCCAAATTAAAGAGAAATGAAGGAGAAATCCCCAGAAAATGAAATGGAGGCAAGCAATCTACCAGTTACAGAGTTCAAAAACAATGGTTATAAGGATGCTTAAGGAACTTAGGAGAAGAATGGATAAACTCAATGAGAATGTAAATAAAGAGATAGCATAAAAAAAGAACATAGAATCCATAAAAATGAACCAGTCAGAAAGGAATAACACAATAGCTGAAATGAAGACAAAACTAGTAGAAATCAACAGCAGATGATATGAAGCAGAGGATCAAATCAGCCATTTTGGAAAACAAGGTAGCAGAATATACCCAATCAGAGCAAGAGAGAGAGAGAGAAACTGAGAGACTGAGAGACTTGAATAAAATGAGAATAGTTCAAGGGACCTCTGGGATAACATCAAGTGTAACGATGTCTGCATCATAGGGGTATCAGAAGGAGAAGAGAGCAAGCAAGGGATTATGACCCTATTTGGGGAATAATAACTGAAAACTTCCCTATTCTGGTGAAGGAAAAAGACACACAAGTACAGGAAGTACCGAGAGTCCCAAGCAAGGTGAACCCAAAGAGGCCCACACCAAAGACACATCATAATTAAAATGAAAAAGGTTAAAGACAAAAAGAATCTTAAAAATGGGGAAAGAAAGACAGTTACCAACAAGGAGCTCCTCTAGACAGTCAACCAATTTCTCAACAAAAACGTTCAAAGCCATGCATAAAATATTCAAAGTGATGCAAAGCAAGACCTATTACTATGAAGACTGCTGTACACAGAAAGGCTAGCATTTAAAATTGAAGGAGAAATACAGACAAGAAAAAGTTAAAAGAGTTTATTACCACCAAACCAGTATTACAAAACATTTAAGGGACTTCTTTAAGAGAAGAAGGAAAAAAGAAAGGAGAACGTAATTATAAAGAATGAAATTGCAATAAATATGAACCTATCAATAATCTCTCTAAGTTTAAATGGGTTAAATGCTTCAAAGAAAAGACAAAGGGTAGCTAAAAGGATAAGAAAACAAGACCCATATATATGTTGTCCACAGGAACCCACATAAAAGCAAAAGACAAAGGCAAACAAAAGTAAAAAGATGCAAAAAGATATTTTATACAAATGAAAACAAACCAAAAGCTGGCATGCAATAATTATACCAGCCAAAATAGACTTTAAAACAAAGACTATAATAAGAGACAAAAATATTACATAATGATAAAAGGATCGATTCAACAAGAAATGTAACCCTTATAAACATTTATGCACTCAACATAGGAATACCTGAATATAAAAAGCAAATACTGATGGACATATATAGAGAGATAGACAGTAATACAGTTGTAGTAGGAATTTTTAACACCCTATTAACATCAATGGATAGATCTTCCAAACAGAAAATCAACAAGGAAAGGGTGGTCTTAAATAACACACTAGATCCAATGGATTTCATTGAAATTTTCAGAGGATTTTACCACAAAGCAGCAGAATATGCATTCTTTTCAAGTGCACATAGAACATTCTTTAAGAAGACTAAGATCATATCAAGCATCTTCTCTGACCAAAAATGGTAGGAAACTAGAAATGAATTACAAGAAAAACTAACTGAAAAACACACATATGGAGGCCAAATAATGTTAGTAAACAATGAATGGGTTAACAATAAGATCAAGGGAGAAATCAAAAGATGCCTGAGACAAATGAAAATGAAAACACAATCACCTAAATTTATGGGACACAGCAAAAGCAGTCCTAAGAGGAAAATTCATAACAACACAGGCCTACCTTAGGAAACAAGAAAAATCTCGAATAAACAATCTAATCTTACACCTAAAGGAAATAGGAAAAACAACAACAAAAAAGCCCAAAGTGTGCCCAATCCCCAGCTGTGGATATGCAGGATGCGGCCAATCGATATTCTCTCTCATCGATGTTTCTCTCTTTCTCTCTCTCTCTCTCTCTCTCTCTCTCTCTCTCTCTCTCTCTCTCCCCCCTCTCCCTCTCCCTTCCCCTCTTTCTAAAATCAATAAAGAAAAATTTTTTTAAGTAAATGGTCTTGGGATAATTAGACATGTGCAAAAAATTGAAACTAGGTCACCTTTTCATACTATACACAATAATAAACTCAAAATGGATTAAAGGCTTAAATGTAAGACTTGAAACCATAAAACTCCTAGAAGAAAACAGGCAGTAAAATATCTGACATTTCTCTTAGAAATAATTTTCCTGATATATCTTTTTATGCAAGGAAAACAAACAAACAAAATAAACAAATGGGACTACATCAAACTAAAAAGATTTTGCACAGCATAGGAAACCATAAACAAAATAGAAAAGCAATCTACTGAATGCAGGAAAGTATTCTCCAATAATAAATTCAAATGGATTAATATCCAAAATTTATAAAGAACACATACAACTCAACACCAAAAAAACCCAACAACAACAAAAATTCACATTTAAAAAATGGGCAAGAGGCCTGAATAGATTGTTTTTGAAGAGAACACACAGATGGCCAATAGGCACATGAAGAGATGCTCAATGACACTAACCATCACATAAATGGAAATTAAAACCACAATTAGATATCACTTCACATCTGTCAGAATCGCTAGTATAAATAAATCAACAAAGAACAAGTGTCGGGGAGGATGTGGAGAAAAGGAAACCATCATGCACTGTTGGTGGAAACACAGATTGGTGCAGCTAATATGGAGAACAGTATGGAAGTTCATCAAAAAGTATAAATGGACCTGCCTTATGACCCAGCAATTTCACTTCTGGTAATATATCCAAAGAAACCCAAAACACTGATACAAAAGAATATATGCACCCATATGTTCCTTGCAGCATTATTTACAATAGCCAAGATGTAGAAGTAACCCAAATGCCCATCTATAGACGAGTGGATAAAAAAGTGGTGATATATATCATACACACACACACACACATATATACACATATACACACACACATATATATAATGGAATATTACTTAGCCATAAAAAAGAATGAAATCTTACCAATTGTGACAGTATGGATGGAATTGGAGGGTATTACACTAAGCAAAATAAGTCACAGAAAGACAAATACCATATGATTTACTTATATGTGAAATCTAAGGAACAAAATAAATGAACAAGCAAAACTGACACAGACTCATACATACTGAGAGCAGACTGAAGGTTGCCAGAGAGAAGGCAGTTAGAGGGACTGGGTGAAAAAAGTGAAGGGATTAAGAAGAACAAATCTGTAGTTACAGAACATTCCTGGGGATGTAAATTACAGCATAGGGAAAATAGTCGATGATATTGTAATAACTAGGTATGGTGCCAGATGTGTGCTGGAGATACTGAGAGGAGAGCTTTGTGAAGAAGTATGTGATTGTCTAACCACTATTTTGTACACCTGAATCTAATACAAAATCATATTTAATGTAGATTGTACTTGAAAAATAAAATTAAAAAACAAACAAAAAGGAAATAATAAAAAGCAATATTGTAATAAAAGCTACTTTGTCAAGTATAGATGTACTAAATCAACAAAATTTTCCAAGTAATGGCGGTAAATTGCAGGCTCAGTAACATCATGAATAAAATTTAATTTTGGCAACATATTTTAACCACAGCACTGACAAACTAGAACAGTGGGAAAAGCAGAATTATGAACAATCTTTCATATCCTCTGAAAATCTGTTTAGGGAAGTAAAATTTCTTTATGAATTCTTCTTAATTTTTATAACAATACTTGTCAGTATTCTGTTATTTTTTTTAATGTTTTTATTGATTTTTTTAGAGAGGAAGGGAGAGAGAGATAGAAACATTGAGGAGAAAGATACATAGATAGGCTGCCTCCTGCACGTCCCCCACCAGGGATGGAACCTGCAACCCAGTCACGTGCCCTGATCTGGAATCAAACTGGGACCTCTCAGTCCATGGGACAATGCTCAATCCACTGAGCCACACCAGCTGTGCAGTATTCCATTATCTTAACAAAATGATGTGTACTTTTATTTGGATATGCATGTCCACCAAGATAGATATAATTGGTGAAAACCACAAGTCTGCCACTTACCATGTTGATCAAAGGGGTAGTTTATACCGCCTGCCTGAGAGTCAATTGCCTATTCACAAAATGTGAAGCATTTCTAACACCAAGGGTTAATGTAAAAATTACTAAACATTTCCTTATATTGAGCTCCTTAATAATAAATTGAGCTCCCAACTTGTGTGTTTTGCATGTTTTTAAATTTAATAATTGTCACATCCCTAACAGGTACTATTTTATTTAATTTAAAGTTTTGCTTTGGAGATGTTCATTTATATGCTTAAGATCACATGCAAGTAGTCGCCAAAGTGGGGATTCAAACATTGGTCTACCTGCCTCCAAAATGAGTCTTCACTACAATGATAGACTAAAAAATAATACAGTCCCTGAGTGGTAACACTTCAGCTGATGTTTCCCTTTCCTTTCCCGTCATATATTTAGGTTTTGTGTTATCTGCGTGACATATCCTAAGCCTTGAAGCATCTAAAACAAATTTAATGTAGAGTCTTATAGGTAGAAAATGACCGATTGCTGCTTTTTCCCTTTATTTCATACCTGGGTTACGATAGTGGAAGTAAATAAGCTTTGGTCATAGGTCCAACCGTCCAGGCATGGCTCTGTCTCCAGCTCAGTGGTGTTTATGGCCAAATCGCTGGAGTTTAAAAGTTGCCACTGCGTTTGTCGGAACCGACGGCATTGCTCCTGCTGGTGGTTGTCCCTCGGGATGGACATCCTCAGGAGGGCTTTGGCCGTTAGGTTCTCGGGATGCTTGCTTTGGGATGTGATGTTGTCAAGGAGATGAACGTAGCAACGGTGAGCGGGAATGGCCGCAGAAAAGTTTTGCACTAAGTTGTGAGTGGCAACAAGTATAATTAATGACAAACTCGAAAAGACAAGCGTGATTTGGTATCTTCCACAATTTCCCGCAAGTTGAAGAAGCTCTGAGAAGGCCATGGCTGGGATGGAAGCAGCAAAGTGAGAACAACATTTTTCTGAAAATGTTTTAATATTGCCAAATAGTTCTAATTTATCAACAGGAAAAAAAAACCCTCTAAATATTCATTTATAAAAGTGTGAGTAGAAACATTTAGCTATAATGAGCAGCGTGGCATTAGCTTTTCTTACTTCCCCTATAAAATACTGTTGCCTCTCTGTTTTCAGTAGTGCTGAGCCAGATTATACTTATCAACAATCATTTGGAAAAACTAGTACTTGTATTATACATAAAGAAAGTGCTATAGCCCCATCAACAAATCAAACAACATGTGTTGGCGAGGGTGTGGAGAAAAGGGGACTCTAGTACACTGCTGGTGGGAATGCAGACTGGTGCAGCCACTATGGAAAACAATATGGTGTTTCCTCAAAAAATTAAAAATTGAACTTCCATTTGACCCGGTGATCCCACTTCTAGGAAGCCTGAAACACCAATCAGAAAGAATGTATGTACTCCCATGTTTGTAGCAGCACTATTTACAATAGCTAAGATCTGGAAACAGCCCAAATGTCCATCAGTAGACGAATGGATAAAAAAGCGGTGGTACATATACACAGTGGAGTACTATGCAGCTGTAAGAAAGAAAGATCTCTTATCCTTTGAGACGACATAGAGGGACCTGGAAAGTATCATCCTAAGTGAATCAAGCCAAACAGAGAAAGACAAGTATCATATAATTTCACTTATTTGTGGAATACAATGAACATAACAGTGTGAGGAATGGGGTAGTTCCAGAGATGTTGAAGTGGGGTACAGACTGACAATCCCCAGGAGAGGGGGTGGGGGGGGAGATAAACCACAGAACTTATATGCATGTATGCATGAACAATGGACATGGACAACAAAGCTGGGGACAGGGCGGGGTGGGAGGGGGAGGTGGAATCAGTGGGGGGAAAAGGAGAAACATCTGTAACAAAAATAAATTAATTAATTAAAAAAAAGAAAGTGCTATAGATATACAAATAGATTCAGGTACAGATCTAAAAGCTAAGTAGAAAAACAAGCTTTTAGGAATTCTTAGGGCAAAAGTTAAAGTGAAGGAAAATTTAATGAGGTCAGTGAGGTTCAAAGTTACGTTTGTTTTGTGGGCATGTGATATAAGAAAAATATTAAATTTGTTTAAAGACAGTTACATAGCAAGGGAAGGAAAGAAACAAAGCTCAGAATGGAAATCATGGGAAGGGTCTAACACAAGGCCCTCTCCACAGTAACTATAACTGTAAAAGTAACCAGCTTCGGGATAAGAGATAACTCAAAGTGGGGTTTTTTGTCCTCACCCGAGGACATTTTTTCATTTTTTGTTTAGATAGAGTAGGAGGGAGAGAGAGGAAGACAGAGCGAGAGAGAAACATCGACGTGAAAGGGACACATCGAGTGGCTGCCACCCGCACGACCCAACCAGGGCCGGGGACAAACTGCAACCGAATGTGCCCTTAGCAGGAACCGAACCCGGGTCTCTCTGGACCGCAGGCCGACGCTCTAACCACTGAGCCAAACCGGCCAGGGCTCAAAGTGGATTTTTGTCTCGTATTGTAATTATCATGTCTCAAACACCTAGGTCATGGAATCTTAAGTATAAATCTTGAATTGTGGTTTCAGAATAAGGACTTTTCTGCAGATAATAATTAGAAACAAAAAAGATTATTTTTCGAGGAAGCTATTTATTATAACACATTATTGTAGGTAGGTAGTATCATATACCAGCAGGGAAATGATCGTCATTCTTATAAGTAACAAATAAATATCCACATGGAAAATATAAATTGTATCATTGCCTTTCATCATACATAAATCTGCACTTTTAGTAGATTAAATAAAATGTATAGGGAGGGAAAATGAGATGATAATACAAAAGAATTAATTTCTTTAGATAAGAAAAGGTATCCTCAAGAATACTGAAGCATCGGCTATGAATAAAAAACTGATAACATTTACTATATTGTATTTGGAACGTTTGTTTGTCTAAAGAGATACAAAATACAAGCCACAGAGCACAGAAAATTATTTATTACACATATCACCAATAAAAGCCTAGTATCTAGAAAAATACAAACCACACAACTCAATCATGAGAACACAATGTAACAGAAAAAAATCAAGAAAAGATTTGATCAGACATTTACTTCACAGGTTATGAAATTTAAGCATATGAAATCATACTCCACTATATTTCTAATGATAAAAGAAATATTCACCTAGAACAATGTGGATGAACGTTACAAACAAAATCGAGGAAAATAATTAGGGTAAATAATGAATGACAATATCATGATTATTTATAATCTATAATTCAAAAGAGAGACAAAAATTAACTATATTGTTTTTGGATATAAACAAGAAAAAGCGAGAAATCTTCCATAAAAGTACATTACATTTAACTTAATGGAGAGTCACCTGAACAGCAGTGGAAAATAAGGGTCAAAAATAATTTCTATGGCCCTGGCTGGTTTGGCTCAGCGGTTAGAGCGTCGGCCTGTGGTCCAGAGAGACCTGGGTTCAGTTCCCGCTAAGGGCATGTACCTCGGTTGCAGTTTGTCCCCGGCCCTGGTTGGGTCATGCTGTTGGCAGCCACTCGATGTGTCCCTTTCACGTCGATGTTTCTCTCTCTCTTTCTCCCTCCCACTCTGTCTGAACAAAAATTGGAAAAATGTCCTCGGGTGAGGATAAAATAAATAAAATAATAATAATTTCTATGTATGTCTATACAGGGATATCTGATTTACAGTTAAGGTGAAACCAAATATTTTTTTGATAGAGCTGAGAAAATGGCTCAGTATATGGTGAAAATATAAGTAAATAGCCTTTTATGATTATATATATACATATATATAATCCATAAAGATGAATTTAAATTGTTATTATGCAAAAATAAACTCTAAAGCTAACCTAATATAAGAAAAGATAGTTGATTCTCCTATGTATCTGAGTTGAGGAAAAAAACCCTAAAAATAATAACACCCACAAACCAAATTGTGAATTTCAATATTACAATTAAATGTTTAGTTTTAACTAAGAACAAAACAGAATATAATAAATTAACAGAAAATTTACTTACATTATTAGGCAATGCTAACTATATTGATCAGGCAGTTATAGAAAAACAAGAAATATATAGGAGATCTAAAAGAAAAATTCCCCAAGAAATAATAATACAGGTGATAGACTCATGTTATGGAATATATCTACTAGTAATCAGAAAAAATATTAATAACAATGGGTCACCACTTCAAAATTATTCTGATTGGCATTAACTAAGATATCTATCACATAATTTTATTTTGGTGCAATCAAGTTAGTTCATTCATAATCCATGTGTTTTAAAGGGAGGTTTAATTTAAGGTATTAGCTCAGGTATCCATTATTATGTGAATGGATAACACAAATATGGTATTAATTTTATGCTCAAGTTAGCTACAATGAATTATGTCTTATATAGTAACAGCCAGAGATCTCAGGACCAAAGGGCCCAATTAATAAGAAACAACAAAAATTTTTTTGTAGAATATTTTTGTAAAATTAGCACAGAAGAGCATAAAGTAACACTGTGTACTTTATAAGAAATTGTGTAAAAGAGTGACATTACTGCCTAGGTGGAGGGGTGGAGAAAAGGATAATGGAATCTAGGTGGGAAGAGGAAAAAACATGCAAGATTTAATAAAAGAAAGTGCTGCTGTAAAATAGAGTGCGTCAAATCTAAGTCTCTACATCTGCCATATAAAGGAAACCAAAAGGATTAAACATTTCTAGTTCCTATTTTCACATGGAAGTGCTTATGAGTAGTAAGATCAGTGTTACTTGAGTTACTGTGATGTCTTCTGCAAGCAGAAGAAGAATTTTCACAGGAAGGACACGTGGGAGAATTCCCCACCGTGTTTCTACATGCCTTGTGTCTATGTGCTTTTGTCTTGAACTATCAGTGCAAGAATTACTGAACAGCAAATTGCCTTTGAAGAGAGAGACTGTGTCTTTAACTGAGGAAGAGGGAAGGTTTGTTTCCTGACCAGGATACGACAGTACTTCCCTTCAGGATTAGCTACTGTAGGAGAGATTTACTCGGAGTTCTTCACCTCTAATAACAATGCAGTGTGTGTGTAGCATCTGCCCGTGCGTCTCCTCATTCCCCTGGGAGATGGGAAGGCAAGAATTGAACATGAAGCCCAGGCTTCTTGGAAGGTAGGAGGCACAAGACTCCTTTACTCTGCCAGCAGCTATAAAATGATGTGAGGCTACCTTGTTTGCTTCCAAATTTGGTAAAATCTCAGACCCTGAGAGTTCTTGTCAGCCCCCCTATTTGCAACATTGGTTTCAAACAATAGACTAATATACCGAATGCTTAAAGTAGTAGACTAATAATGCAATTCTCAATGCCTTAAACATAATCTTTATAACAACTGTATTCATGTTACTATCCATCTACTCTTTAAAAATGATAAAAAGCAGTTTAAAAAGATGAAATTTTATAAGGTCCCATAATTAGTCAGGAACGAAGAGATTTGAACCCAAGTATTCCATCATCAAAGCTTTGAAACATTTTAGCTGTGAGAGATCAATCAGAATAACACATCATGTTACGGTAATTCAGGCCCAGATATACTTAGCATATGGCTCCAGCTGACAGCAAGAAGGAAAGACGTTTCATACCTTTGTTGGCTCGTCAGCACAGCTCACATGCAGAGTCTATTTCTCCGAACAGCACGAGATGCAGCAAAGAGTAGAAACTTTCTCACGTTCCAGCACGAGGCAGCATTCTCTGGAGCTTCCGGTTCTGTTTTCGGCTTTGGATGATTTACATATTCTTTTTTTTTAAAATTTTTTTCCCTTTATTAATTTTAGAGAGAGGGGGAGGGAGAAAGAGAGAAAGATAGAAACATTGATGAGAGAGAACATTGACTGGCTGCCTCCTGCGTGCCTCCCACTGGGGATCGGGCCCACACCTGGGCATGTGTCCTGACCGGGAATT